TCCAAGATTCTTCGGATGCGCAGTACAAAAGTGCCTGTTAATGGGGACCTTCTAACGCCCACCCATATTGGGGTATCTGAGCTCAAATTCCAGTGGCGGCACCACGACGCATCTACACGTGTTTGATCCTCTCCTCTCTCGCCTGCGTTTTTTTCCCCTTCTTCTCTCCACTCACGTGCCCACGTTTACTATAAAGCTTCCATATTCCACACATACATAAATCGGACCCTGTTTCGCGTCATAAATTCCGGGCCCTGATTGCTTCTCCGAACCTGAACCCTGTGACGCTGGGCTTACGCGAGAAGGTGGTATTACTGTGTCGAGAGATCCGACGTCGATTCGCAAATGCTGCCGGTGCTTCGGATGGGGTGCTGTTTTTTTTTTTGGCCCTCTCTGATGAAGGAGGGCTTCTCTCCGGGTCGGAGTCGCGAAATAGGCGACGTCGATGTCGGTCTCCAGAGTGTCCTGTTGGAAAGCCCAAGTGTTCGACACCGGGGTGTACATTCGTACGGTTTTCTACATGTTTGTATGTTTGTATGTTCTTCAAGTTTTTGGGGGGAACAGAGATCAAAGATACTCAATTGGAACGTGCTGACCCGGCGTTTATCTTGACTATCCGCGCTTCTTCTCTGCGTGATTTCTGAAAAAAAAAAAAAGGAAACCAGTCTCTTTGATTGCAAGGCATGCTGGATGTCGAAGCTGTCTTCTAAAAAAATTCTGGTTAATTAGCAAGGATGTGGGTCCTGGTACTCAGTGGACTTGATCACTGGGCACGTCCCTCCGAGCTCGTGACCCCAATTTGCATTCGGCTCCATAGCGGCATCATTAATCATCCCTTTCGTCTTGCAATCATGCAACCTTCTCTGCCGCAGGAACTTCTCGACGAGATTATCGATCGTATTCAGGATGATATCCTAACCCTCAGAGCGTGTTCCCTAGCTGCTCGTTCGTTCGTGCCTTCCAGTCGCAAGCACCTTTACTCCCACGTCATAATCTTCCAAGCGGGCGTTGACGCGCCCTTGCCTAACAGCTTTGCCGGTAGCAAATTCACCTGCGAATCATTTCACAATTTGCTTCAGGAAGGAATTTGCCCTGTTGCTCCTCTGGTCAAGTTCCTTAGCGTACAGGACGGTCTAGAGGGAACGCCAGGTTACCTAGTCCACAAAGAGAAAGTTAGACTTCCCGTCATTCTTGATATGCTTCAAAATCTGGAGCGTGTATCTATCTCCAGTCATCGAGGCTCTCTATCTTGGGATGCCCCAGAAACCCCTATCACATCTTTCCTCAAAACGTTTCGATCTCCGTCACTAACATCTCTTGACCTCGATAATCTCACTTTCTCCCGGTTTGAAGGTATTGCACGTATTTTATATGAATGCAGCGACACTGTCAAGCATTTATCTCTCAACTACATCACAATATTTTCGAGGGATATTGATGTCCGAGGTCTTACGACCAAATATGATGGTCGTCATCTCCATCTTGAGTCACTTCGACTCGTGGAAGATGACCTGGGTCTCTTAGCCAAGTTTGTACTGCACGAGTCCTCTCCATTGAGGATAGATTGCCTTCGAGAGCTTTCTATTTCCTCAAACCGGCATAATCCCATCGCGGGGCTCCTAGCGGCTACCCGTAATACACTCGAGCATCTCGACTTCTTCATAAACCACAATGGTACGCCAGATCCACATCTGTATGTCAATGTTTTGTTTGATGCTGAAACAGGGGATATTACCGCGCCTTTTCTCATGGACGACCACAAGCGTCTCAAATCCTTACATGTCGGTGTAGGCCACCAAGTTACGAACTTGGCCTGGATAGACTCTATCCCACTCAATCCCACGATCGAGACGCTCACCATCGAACTAGTAAACCCCGATGTTTCTGAAAAGTCGTTACTATGGGCGCAGCTGGACGCCCGCACATCGGGAGTATCATTACGAGAGGTGAACGTAAAACTGCACGGTCTAAGCCGTCCGAGTCGTAATTCCCACTCGTGCGAGCCATATACATGCCGCGACTATGTGGCGTTTGCAGATGGATCTGCTGTACTCGCATTGGTAGAGGAACGGTTGCCCACTCTACGAAGCAAGGTTCGATTGACGGTTCAGGAAGTAGCGCGTATGTCATGTCCTCTTTTACGGCCCGGCAACGCGAGGCTAACGGTTAATTTATCAGAACGAAGACTGCAAGCTGGGGGGATGTGGTCTCGGCATCTGGAGTTTGTTTGACGGGGAGGTCCCACAACGCTCTCCGATTGTATTCTAGGAAGTAAATTGGGCGGTGTTAGGATTTCAACGTTTGAGCATTGTACCCGATGTATACATTCCATACATAGCGGCGCTGCGAACGTTCATATAGCGACTATTTTCCGAGGTTCTAGTAGCACAGCCGCAGTACGTCTTCTGTTACTACGAATTATACAGGTAAATTGGTGTGCGTAAGTGCGACGGCGCACACATGTCCTTTCGGCACCCAGTCCAACGGTGCTGTTGCGTCGAAACCTCGGCGGAAAATGCTTGAAACTAGTCCAATATACGTCACTTACACAGCCATCAACAGGGCGTCGCGAGGGACCATCATCGATAGCCTCTCAAAATATGATCTAGTGTGGGGAAGGATCATTGTGATACAACTGGGAATGCATCATGTTCGCCTTTATCACCGCCGGGTACCTCAGTCGCTGGTAGTATACAGCGTAGCTTATAGAGCACCATTCATTTCGCCAAAGTTTGAAACGTGGGAATTTAGCTAGCATGCATCTGGCCACGTATATTTCTGGCTTGTTATTAACATACATATCATGCGGTCCAGCCCCCTGTATGAGAACGATACAAGGCGAGTCTGTCACCTTGATCGTAGTCTTCAGTCCAGAAAGTTGGAACTTGTCGAAATTACATCATGGACTTTACTCTTAGTTGTTCGCACACACAGAAATGAAACACAAAACCTTGGCTTCCAGAAGAGAGAAAAAATTATTATGAGCTCGAGTGATGATCATAGTTGTTCACGATGATGATGGTCGCTTATGCTCCACACGTACTCCGAGGTTTTTCTTTCCGACGGCCTGGCCACGTTGCCAGACGACTGTGGACTTCCATTATGTATATTCATACCTTTCTGAATTGAATTGTCTGGCAGTCATCACTACCATTAGTAATCACCGCTTCGCACAAAACCAGGCAATCATGATCAAGTACCGAGGTCTGTAGTATATTATGATGACTCGAAATATTCAGTCGTTTACTAACTTGAATATTAGGGCACAGCTATACAAAGATACGAGCGGTGAGGGGTAAACTACGAATATCGATGACTGATTTTACATAGTTCCAATCAGAAGCAACGGTAGAATCGCTTGAGTCAATAGTATTCTTTGCCATAGAGATTAATCAATTCAGCTTTCACCTCTTTGGAGATGCTTGGCAGCCTGCCATGCTGTGAAATGCCTGCGACGTGGTTAGAGTCAATGGAGTTTCGTGTTTTCGATTATTACTGTAAATTCACAGCGCCGCGTGCAAGCTCTTCCAGTGGAGTACCCTCGCATCAACCACTCGATCACACCAAGTTGATCACCGAAAGATCATTGTTCCTTCTATGGAACCCCCACCACCCCGTCAAGCGTACCCGGGCCCGTATCCACTGTAAGAAAACATTCACGTTTAATGAAGAGGATTTATGGTCCCTGGATGGTTCACTTACCCGTGTCAGGAGGTGCCCTGACCGTGAACTGGTCTGGAACTGATGCGCGAGAACAGTTGGAAAGGCGAGAGTCTTCAAACAATTGCTCTTACTGCTGCAAAGTCGCAAGTAAAATATACAAGATACGGGTGGTGATTATGACACAAGCTTCACCGGGATCTGGTACTTAGTTCGGTAGAATAATATGATCTATACCTGCAAACCAAAGCTTTCAGGCCGAACGTTTTCGGCGAAGAACTTGGAGTCGTGAGCCAACAAAGACATGCTATTGTCGAAAGCCCAGAGCGACATTTGATATCGTCCCGCGTTTCTCAGGTATAAATCCAGATCTCGCGGGACCGGCGCCGATTTGGAATAGCAAGCACCCCCGATTCGGCGTTCAGAGCTCGCTTCCAACGGACATGGATATTACCGCAAATCTTACGTTCTAAATTTGATAGCTACTTTTATTGAGCATATGCGAAACCAGAAACGGACCAGCAATGAACTTGAACGATTTAGAGATAGCTTTGTGTACATTGGCATAGACAGACAAAAGGGTACGGTGGAGCGGGCTTTTGAAGCTCGAGTTATGTCTCAAGGAATAAACGACGCGAGAAGGATGGTATCAGATGGCGTTTCAGTTCCAGAATATCGTGAGGGCGCGTAAAGCGCATGGAATAGATGCTAGCTCAAAAAAGTGCATAAGTTCCTAAGACTTTTTAGCACACGCTCCGGGAGAACAGCGAAGGAACATCCCAAGTCGGTTGATAATCATTTGAAGTCTCCGATGATCGGAGATGTGCTCTTCGAACACATGCCCGAGCGTCAATTTCGATGCTTTTTGCTTCTAACAGACGCAATTCTTTCCCATTTTACCTCGGATTTTTTCCAAGATATATATCAGTAGCTTTGACAATTATATCGACTTACCTGATGTGTTTCATTTACAGAAAATAATCATAATTTTTTGCAATGGTGCACCGATCAGATTTGACACTTCCCTGCTAAAATTGACCATTTACACGCTGGTACGCTTCCGCAGCAGCTGACATTCTTCTAAAAAATCCGAAACTTAGAACAATGCAGGTGTGATATTTAAACTAAACACTCTACCAATTTCCGACGTAAATTCTCAGAATTGAGGAAACGAGGAACTTTGCACATTCGGATTGACATTTCTGGTCGATCAATAGTATAGCAATCGGAAGTTGAAAGCGTCATCAATCGGTAAATACACACACCCATCGGATATCGTCTGCAATGACTAGGGAATTTTGAAAAAGATGTAAATCGGAAGACCAGAACAATAAAATCAAGGGCTCAACCGGGAGTTGAACCCGGGACCTCACACATATGCTCACTAAAGCACCGGATTAGTCATCCCGAAGCGCGAATCATTCTACTAGACCATTGAGCCATAAACTTCATGTCTGTTGTACGACATGCCAGTACCTGAGTATGTGCTGTGCTCAATTGCGCACATTCTGGCACCTTTTATTGGCCCTGTCTAATGCCCAATTGCAACGCGTCGTTTGTTACAATCCAACTGTCATCCTGTTTTTAGAATCTCTTACAATATTTATCACTGTTTGAACGCTTCCAATGCTCCCATTCCCATTCCCGTCCATGATCACTTTGGGTTACACATGTTCAAACGAAAAGTACACGAAAACTTTCTCGCCGTACGGTTGGACCATTCACACGTAAACTACCAAGTGTATTCTACCGACGCAAACTTTATAATTTATATTTAAAGCCTCCCGTGCGTGTAGTTCCGTAAGCTTGGCTTGCTCACACGGGTCACGGCATAATGAATGGCTTCCGAGTCTCGTCACCCTGTCGATCATTACCTTCCACCATCTGCGGTAGGCCTGAGCCACAACATTTATCCGCCCCGTGCAGCTCGCCCAACCCAGAAATAGCCTGTCCAAGCTGGTTCACTTGCAATCTTCGCATCCGAACCTGGCGAGGAGGGAGGAGGGAGGACCCACCCCTCCTCAATCGAGGTCAGGATTCTTTTGTCTTTCTTTCATTTCCCAGGGTTTCGGGCTACGAGAGAAGGTGGCTGCTTGGCTGGCATCCTTGGGAATGTAGCTGGACTGCGTGGCACTATGTCAGCCTCCTCCACACCTCGGTTCGGTGGTACTCTCCCCCAAGGGATAGCCCTCACCCTCGCATTTACGCAACCCATGTCGAGAGAAATAGTGTGTTCGCTGTCATGATGAGTTAGACGTTCTAGACATGGCTTGATGTGGCGGTGATTTTCGATCCGTTCAATTATCCCATTGCTTCCCTGGACCTCGCTTTATCACACTCACAAGATCTAGACGCGACATAGTCGGCTGCGTAAATTAGTTCCTCGGGTTCTATTTCACGGTGGTGACGAATCCCTTCGTCTTTTTGGGATAGCTGTTAGGTTTTACTAGGGACTATATATATGCTCCGAAGAGCCAGAGTGGGGTTGTTTGCTTTCTAAGGCTTTAGTAGAGCTCGCCAGAGTCGAAATGAAATCATGAAATGTATCGAACAGATATAAAAGTACCGTATTTGTGAAAAAGGCCCGCTTACTTTCTCATAATATGAAAGACCGTTAAGAGAGATAGACAATACCGGGTATCTCAGAGGATTAAAGCTCATACCAGGCGACGAAAGAACGAAGAAGGCGTCGAAATTGCCACTTCTCGATACCAAATCGTTGAAAACTGCGAATAGCCCCAGCAAATGGAACGACAAAAATATCAATATCAATTAGATTTTCAAGCAACTCCACGTGTGCACATGTTGCGAAAAAAAAGTAATAATACATAGTCCCTATAAGTGCGAAGAGTATCAAAGTACTATAACAGCTCCGACCAACGAGAAGAGCACAGCAGTACCCATCGAATACACGTATCTATCCCATCCATCCATGGACCTTACCAAAGAGAACGCTGCGGAAGATTGCGTCGCAGTAGCTGAGACTTGTGCTTTTGCCGTTGTCGCGCCTGTTCCCGCAGCGGATGCCTGACCACAGACGGGTAAACATCCTATTTTCATTTCAGAAATGTCAGCTTTCTCACCGTTTGAGTGGTCACAGAATTACGGGAAGATGTAGTAGTGGCAGCGCTGCCGAGAGCAGTGACGGTGGTGCACTGCGAGGATGAGGGGATTGGGTGGGGAGGAGGCGTTGCGCCTTGACCCTGCTGGAACGTCGACCCATCATACACACCCATGGGCTTATGGAGGGTATATCAATACTAATAGGAACGGAGCCTCGAACACAAACGTACGAGACCACTATCACCCTGGCACGATTCAAATACTCCAGAGCTGTAGTTGGCGGGCATATTCCATGCACAACCCATCACGTCATAGATGTGTTGACCTGAAACCACGGTTAGAAATAGCAAAACACGAACGGGGCAAGGATACCCACACCACCCTGGCGCATTGTTACCAGCAGGATTACATGCCCGGAAACAGAATTGGTCGGCGGACATGAAGCTCTACACTTTCCGTCAGTAGATGCCTGCGAAAGTAGAATGATAACCCACCGTCCACTCATGTATCTGCTGAAGCTCTCCAAACGCTGACGAAAAGACTAGTCCACCAATAGGATTACCTGCACGCTGTCAGAAAAAATCCCCAAGAGGTTATGAGTCTATTCACATACCATTTCCATCTGCTCCATGAGGATCCAGCTCTCCTCCGCTGTCGCCGGCTGGAACATTCATTTTTGTGAAATCTCCAACACCTGTAACTTGGACCTGTGATATCCATAAGGATCAGTACACGATTACTCCCCTATAATCTTGACTCACAAAATCTGGTGTTTTAACGAAATGAGCGCCGGCGATAACGCCAGCCGGAATCGTGCGAGTACCATAACCCGGCTACGTGATGATCAGAATCAACTCAAGTATGTGAATTGAATAGTATATACCTTTAGACACCATGAGACTTCAATACGCTGGACGATGTGAATAAGCCCTAGTTAAGAAAGTGTAAAGTTCGTAAAACCCACCTCGGTTTCTCCGATTCCGGAGTTTGGGCCGGGTTCGGGGGGACTCCAGAGACAGCTGCATGTGATTGAGATAGGGATGTACCGCAGTATGGTGGCGACTTACAAGTCATCGATACCATTAACTGCAAAATATTTAACGGGACCCTTGTTTATGTAAGAAAAGTCCACGTACTGTAGGCATTTTGACAGTTTGACTTTTGGTCGTTTGTTGTCCCGCACTTGTTAGTACCGGTCTGACCCTGTTCGGAAGTTGCTGGTGCGTTGCTCGGTAGGTAGGTCGCAGTGTATTGAGCGTAAGCGACACCAGCGAACGAGGAGAGAAGAGCAACTCGAGAAACCATCATGAATGTGAATGTATGTGTGTGTGAGTGGGACTGAAGGTTAAGTTTCCTTCGTCACCGCACTCAGGTATAAGTAGGGGAACGCCATACCGGAAACATCGACATTGTCTGTGTACGATCGAAACCTCGTTAAGACATCTCCACTAGTGTTGACGAAGCGGACGCAGATCGACGATCGTACCTCAGACAGAAAAAAGACACCGGTGTGCAGCTAGACACTGTCAGGCGCCCTTGAAGATATTGCAAGATCCTTGCCAGTAGTGTATTGGATGCTGTACACAATAGTGAGCCTAGTCCATTTTTGTAGTACAGCGATCAACTAAAACCTACGAGTCCTGGAGGCGGTACGTGCAATTTTTCCTTTTCAAACCCGCTCGTACGGGCTTAGAGATGCGTAGCACGCTCGACAATGCGGCATGTCATAGACAGCAGGTTGATAGATGGAGCCTTCGCGTGCAATTAAGTTTCAGATCTGGAGTCGGTGGGGGGCAACGAGACATGAGGGGGAAAAAAGAGAGACTATCATAGTGAATCAACATACGAGACACGAGTTTCCTATGATTTCGAGAATAGGGTACCTGAGGACAAAACTCCGCGTAGGCAGCGCTTTCAGACCGTTCACACCAGGGAGAAGTTTAGTCAAGGCCAATGCAATATCGATGATTCACGTTTCATCTTACAGATAAGGATACTAAAGGTAAGAATCTAGAAGGTTCGATACTAATGGACGCACCAGTGGAGAAAGTAAGGTCATGGGCGTAAGGTTGATGCTCTAAGAATATCTCGGTATCAGTATGGTCTAGGGCCGATTCCCATCTGCCATCCGCTTATGACCTGATAGTGAGAGGAGTTGATCACGCATACATCCAGCAACGGATTCTGAAAATGAGTGAGAACCGTCCAACGAGTATGGATGGACGGGTAACGCACGAGGGGTCTACTGTACACCAAGATATCTGTCCACAGGCGCCTTGGAAATAATTGCTCATGCTCCTTTTCCATCGTCAGGGTGAGTCAACATTGACAGTCGTATATCGACCAACGATGAACGGGTGCGCATATAGTCGAGTACAACCTAGAAGATATAGGATGAGAAAATGTGAACGAGCAGAGGGATCTAATCCATCAATGCTGCGCTCAGCGGTTGGTGGTTTTCGCAATAGTGTATCTGGATTGCGACACACAAGTTCTGTCGTTATCATCGTGTGTGCATCAAAGCGCTGGCCTACTTGTGTGCAAACGGAGCGACTCTAGTTCCTCTGGGAGGAGAAGATCTGTCGGTACACGCCCTTCCTGACAGAAAGAAGAAAAACGACATTGTCTCGACGCGTCGATGAAGACACCGAAAAGGCGCATATACCCAGCTCTTCTGGGGCAAATCTGTGAGAAAAGAAGGAGGTATCGAAGAGAAGAAGAAGCTAACGCACCCGGCGTGGTTATCGACAGCTCATTCCATGACGGACTTCCTGGAAAGGTGCTCTTATCGCTGTGCGATAACGCTCCCTCCGACCGTCGGAGACGTATCCTAGGGTCGACAAAATAAACTGGAGAGTTCATTATTGAATTCATCGCATGCCATCTTTATTTCAGCATACTCGCGCAGCTGCGAAAGAGAATAAAAGCGGGATACGGGCGATGATGAGGGTTAGGGTCAAAGGTAGCTGTGACCAAACAAACAAACAAAGCATCTCTTCCTCTTACTCTCATCACATATCCGTGTCATTCAATTCCCTTTTCCCGACGCGTCCTTACCCTGCGCTAACTATTATTGTCGTCGACCACATTGCCTGAGAAGGTTAGCATCTGTTGACAATAATTGGCAGTCCGCGATAACGAGGTGCCGAAATGCTCTCCTAGATCGCACAGAGAAGCCAGCCTTTGCGATATGGATCCAGGATATCCACTACAGTTGGGCTATTATACGCCTGTCTCTTGTATGCTAACTGACAGGCGCTGCATAGTTCCTCCGGTATTCTAAGCTCCTACCCACTGCTCTGGAACAAAGGCTTTATCAGAACTTCCAACTTCGAAGAACCTTGGAATGCTCTGTTACTCTGTGGCAATTCAGGGCGC